TCAACACCTGGCACCTTCAGCATTAGATGGTCTGGCCCACAGTTAAAGTCCTGGAAAAGGCCTTGTGTCCCCAAGCAGTCAGCGAAGGAGATACCCACACCACTCCACTTTAGACATCAACAGCTGAGGTGTCTCCCTTTGATCTGCTTTCTCCACTTTGCCTTTGCGGCCACAAGAGACAAAAGAGCAATTTCAGAGCACAAAAATCAAAACCCGTATTTTTGATGTCCACTCAGAGGGGAGATGATTCACACTTTGCGGGCGTTTCTTTCCACCAGGAGGTCGAGATGGCCAGACTGGAGACAGATGTTGACACTGTGGCAGCCTGGATGTGGAGGTGGATTTTCCCTGGCAACTTTGCCTGGTCACTGCTCTTCTGTTTCACACGTGATGAGAAATAATGGCTTTGAAAAGCTTGGAGGTGGCTTCTGTTGGGTATTATCAGCCAGATCTGAGGGAGGTGTTATGCCTGATAAAGGCTTAGTAGAGTTTTCAGGAGGTCTCCTTCCCTCTGTCAGGTTGTGTCCATATGACCAGCACTTCTGTGTCCGGAAACAAACCATATTATACAGCGCACATGCAGTGAAAAATAAAAAAAATTAGGATTTTACCCTCTGCTTTCAGCAGTCAGGAACATGCAACCAGTTCAGAATTGCGTTTAAAGGACAAACTAGGAAGGTCTGGAGTGTGCAGTTGCAGTTAGTGATGCTCTGATGTTAAGCTCCGTGTATATCTGTACTAAAGAGCTAAATTCAGCTAAATACACATTGTACCTTGTGTATGAAAACACACCAGCAGAGCTTGAACAATGTTTTGAACCTCGTGGTCTTTCACCTTCTTATGATTCGAATTGCAATTTCCCATTGGCTTTCTTTTGGGGAATTCATCCATGTAAAGAATTACTGTGTGATATGACACTGTGTGATCTGACACTCTTCAGTGTCTGAAATTCCTTAGGCTTCTGCATATGCCTTTCCCAATGGACTTTGTGCTTGCAGAGAAGTCTCAAGAGGCCTTTGTGTATCAGTATAATCTGTAAAAACAAATATTTGGTGTGTTCATTCTCTTTCCCTTCTACTTGTCAATTTAGTGGCAATGCAAACCTGCTATAGCTCTGAGAAGTACCAAGTTATTGGATGGAAAGCTGTATTTTGGCTTTTGACTGTGTCAAGGTACAAAGTTATGGCCTGTTGGGTCTAATACTGACCTTTTTTGGTCAAAACTGGTTTAACTGGCAATGGGATTTGGGGTTATTCAGCTTCGTTATGAGGTGGAAACACAGATATCAATTGCTGCTTTCTAACCTTTTTTGTGTTTTGAGAAATTGTTTTTAACATGTATACTGCTGTAGATGACACAATAAATGTATTATCATTTTGTATAAGTCTGTTCTGATATAAAATTGCACCAAAGAGAACTTTTTGTCTGTGAAGTTACAGGGTAGTGGGTTTTTTTTTTTCTGAAGCAAAAGGATGGAGGGGGGTTTTTTTGGGCTGAAATTTGCTTCCTTCCTCATGAGGAGGAGTCCAGGAATTCTGCTGGTCAAAGTCAGTCCTGGGCCAACCAGAAGTGAAGTTTTTGCCTTTAATGGGCCATGAACCCTCTTCCTTCACCATCAACTGGGGGAGTTACATGAGGAATGTTTTTACCACCCTGAACCAGTGTCAAACACGACTGGGGTCTAATATCACCAGTACAAAGGCAACACACTCTCCACTGCAACTAAAAGCCCCTGTGCCTCTGAGTTTTGATCCACAGGTCTTTGGGGACCTAAATATTATTTCTGTTGTCCTCAAAGACTTCCAGTTGGCAAGGCTGAACAAAATCGATGTCTGTAACTTCTGATATGCTTCAAGGCTTCATTTCTTTTATAGTCAAACCTAAAGAGTTTAATCATTAGGTTAATTTTAAAATATCAGGTACATTCACACTACTGGAACAGAGGACTCCACAGTAGATGACCTATTTCTGATATTTTTTCTGTCTTTAGCCTCTGCTTCAGCTACCACATGTCTTTGCCTGTCCCTCGTGGATCTGTGAATCTCCACTCAGGCTCCATCTTTCCACTGTTGTCCTCCCTCATTGGTCAGCCAAAGTCCAGATATGTGGATCCTCGTCATTTGATGGAGAAATGGACACACATTTATTGGAACTGTGGTTAGAAATGTGTCAGGGAACAACCAGGGCTGAGGGGTTGGAGATCCCCATCCTACAGCACTGCTGAGGCAGGGCCTGGGATGAAAGGGGGTCTCGGGCCCATGGGCAGGTTGAGTCTTGGGAGGGACAGGGCAGATACATGGATTTCCTTTTCTGCTGTGCTTCAAAGCCCTGGAAATACACTTTTACATTAATTTCCTGTGACCTAAAGCAGCCTCAGCCCCTTCTTTAAGGGCTGGATGATGGGACATAGGACATGTCTCCTCTCTCCACCCTGTGCAGGAGGGCTGCATCACTCAGTATCTTACTAATCATGGAGATCAGCAAATGTAGATCAGAGAATCTGGAAAAAGCCTAATTTGTAAAACTCACATCTACTCTAAGTGATTTTTTTTAAGGCTCCTTTTATAGTTAAGAGGCAGAGAAAGAAAAGGCACCTCCAAAAGTATTTCAGCTCCCTCCAGAAGTCCTTTGTAAGTACCCACTATTTTAAAGGCACAATACCATGCTATAGGAGTTTGCTCCAAAAAACAGACACCTGGTTTAAATGAGGAAAACCTCATTCACAAGGTCTGTCAACACACCTTGAATTCAGTTGCATTTTCTGCAGCTGAAAAAAATCTTACTCAGACACTCCAATAATTCTTGCTCTGGGCGCATTAGGCAGCCTGGGGGAAGCTCTGCATTGGCAAAGCAGGTAAAGCTGCCTGCTGGGAGGATTTCTTTTAGTCTGGAGCCCACATAATCAAACTTTCTGAAGAGGTGACCTCATCAGATTTAAAATTCTACTCTCTGAGAGGAATTTCAGTTACATTAACAGCCTGTCTTTGCTGCAACACCCTCCCCCCAAAAAAAAAAAAAAACAAAACCAGCTGAAACAGCTGGTTTTGATCTTTCCAGGTTGTCATGCAGTTTGTAAAGGAATTTTAAAAAAATAATAGTTGAAGAGTTAAACTATATAAAAGACACCAGAATATTAGAGGAAGAGAAGGCAGATTTTCCTGCCTGATATAATTCATTAATCCATTGCAGCTGCCCTTTATTAATTTAATTAATTATTAATTTAATTCTCAGGCCAGGCTGTAGCTGAGGTTCACGTTGGGTGTGAACAGGGGGCAGTGTTTTGGAGCACTGCCTGGCTTTCTGGATCGCACAGATCCAAACAAGCCAGCAGCATTCCCAGCTCCAGGAGAGGGCAGTGGCTCCACACAGAACACACAGCGCTGCTAAACTCAGCCTGTGACAACCTTTTGCTGCCTTCCTTGTGGAGGAAGATATCCCTGAAGCATTCCTGACTCCCACACACACCATCACACCCCCAGGTGTGTCATCAAGAAGGGATCAGCAACCTTTTCACAGCCCAAACAAAATCTTTATCCATGAAACTGTTGCACACCCCAAGATTATTAACCTTCTTTTTTATATAAAGTCTCAAATGAACTATCCAAAGTGACACAAATTAAATTTCCAAACTCACAAAAGCTGTAATTATCACTTGCATCTTATAGCTGTACATCACACAAATGTGTTCTCATCACAATGCTTTTCAACAGATTGAAACAACACTGAGCAAAGGTTACCTTGACAAGTAAAACTGATAAGGATTCTGATCATCAGAATAGACAAAATTACTCATTACAAAGAACACACAATTCATTGGGACAAATGGGCCTAACTAATAAATAACTCATCTGAACCATATTTATAGAAATGTGGACAATTCATCTCTGCCCTAATAACAGAACTAGAAATGAAGCACCTAAAACCAACAAAGAGGTTTCCACAAGTCAAATGTCTGTTAACCCAAATAATTAGCCAAGAGCAGAGCAAATTGAGGGACTGGAACACTACTTTTTTAAGCTAAACTGATGCTGCAGTTCACAGAAAGCCAGGATGTATGTGCATGGCTGTGGTCTCCAGCAGTGCTTCCAGGTCTGATGCAGGTTCTCCTGGAAATGGTCCTGTCTTGAAAGGAGCTGTAGCTGTGTCTTGTGTACCTTTCTTTACTTTTGGAGAGGTTGAGGTAGAGTCCAACTCAGTCCTGAAGAAAGAGGAAGGTCACCCAAAGAAGTGATGCAAGGACACCATTGGTTCTGAGCTTTACTGGGCCATACTTTGCCTCACTGCCCTCACTGCAGTGTGGATAATTCTGTCCCCTGAAACACCATCGAGTGGAGTGACAACGAGCTGAGAAATGCTGAGACAATCACAGTGATCACAGCAATTTAGTCCTCAAAGGCAAGTCCCCCCAAAAAAGCAAAAGCACAGTTTAATTGTGTGTTTCATTGATGGATCCAGTTAATCTTCAGGGTTTTGGTGACAGGTCTGTTCCAGCTCACAAAGAGCAGCAGCTGAGCTCTAAAACCAGGTTTATAAGTCATTCTGAGCTCAAGGCAGCCCAGCTGGACACTGCATTGGGTTTGTTCTCATTTCTTCCTTCATCCATACTCTGCCTAATATTCAGCTGATCCATATTTTCACATAGACAAGAGAGGGCTTAGGATCCTCTGACCTAATTTAATCTCTTTTCATGGAAGGTAAAAACCCAAGCAGATATTGTAACTGTCTGGGTTTTTTTTGTGGCACTCTAGACACCTTGAGATTCCTTTTAAAGGAATTTGCTGTTCCATAGGTGGTGCTTGGCAAGTTTCTGTGCTTAACTCCCACTAAACTGACTCAAGCTGTCTCAAAACAACACCAGTAATTATTATGACAAAGCTTTGCCACCAAATAACTCTTTCTGTGCCAAAACTTGGTCACCAAATAACTCTTGCAAATGAAGATTAGGAATAGTGCACTTGAAAATTGGAAAATCTGGGAAACACTAACAAAGATGTGACAAATGTGGTGGGCCTGAGGAGAGTTAATGTGGGGGTTTTTTTTATTTTTTAGGGTGCTAACCTGTTGATTCACACTATCCCCAGGCCTGGCTTTTCCCAACAAAACAAATGGACTTTATATACTTAAGGAGAGAGCCAGGGTTGGGATATGAATCTGTACCAGGTGAGAAAAGTAGCTCACGACCAGGACAAGGAATTTACAGAATTTACACTATGGAAAGCCAAAAGGATCCAGTTTGCCATCTCTTAGGTAGTACATCCCAATGCCACAGCTAGAAAGCCTCAGACAGTAGTTACACCATTGTGGTACCCAGATGTTTTCCTTTTTGGGCTGATTTTTTCCAGCAGGGACAACTGAGTGACGTAGTTGACGGGACTGTTTTCCCTGGACAAAGTCCCGTGTTTGTGGGTGAAGGTCAGGTATTCCTGATACTGCCACTTGCACAGTTGTTTCTTCAGTTCACTTTGAACCTGTAGAAAAGGAAGTTCAAAACAAAGAAACAGAAAATTAAGGCCTAGTGGACACTGAAGGTAAAATATGGATATCAGCCTGACTACTTAGCCCAGAGTCACAAAAGCACCAGGAAAACCAGGATTAATCCTTAACACATTTTTAGAAGACCTTGAACTGTGTCCCTATCCACTTTTGAAAATAAATAGACCCAATGTCAAACTTTCAGAGGATGACATGTAGAAGTACATTAAAAGAGAGGCTTCCTCCACCAATCCAGTATTCCAGTGCTATCCCAGCAAACTCAAGGCCCTTCAGCACTGCCGTGTATAAATCCCAGCCCTGAGTTTCATCCTGCAGAAATAACACCTTTCTTGGCAGCAGCACAGTCTCTCACATTGTCACATTGTCACAGATACTCAAAACTGGAGAAACACACGCACAGAGAAAACAATGATTATTATTTATGATTGCAGGGAGCCATAACAGATGCACTGCCAAGTGGGAACGAGTGGCCAAGCTGCTCCAGAAGCAGTTTTCCCAAGCAGCATGGACACAAGCCAACCCAACTTCATCTTGGGGCCAGAGATCACACCCTGCCTGTCCCTTTTTTACCACCTCCTGGATTTGTGTGCTGTGAGATACAATATGGGATCTATTAAATCCCATTGGCAAGGAGTCTGTGGGTACAGAAGGCAGATGGGAAGGAGAGCATTCTCTATTTATAGTCAGTCTGGAAGGCCCTCTCTCAGAACAGCACTAGAATGACCATTATAAATTGTTTTCCTAAGTAACAAATGTATTTTAGGCATTGTTCATCCGTGGGTAGGATTAATTGCACCTTTAGCCATCCCTGTGAGGTGTTGGAGTGTGTCCAGAGAAGGGCAAGGAAGCTGGTGAAGGGTCTGGAGAGTCAGTCCTGTGAGGAGCAGCTGAGGGAGCTGGGGGTGTTCAGCCTGGAGAAAAGGAGGTTCAGGGGAGACCTTATTGCTCCCTACAACCCCCTGACAGGAGGCTGTAGGTGGAGGTCAGTCTTTTCTCCCAGAAAACAAGTAGAAAACAAGAAGAATCGGCCTCAAGCTGCGCCAGGGGAGGGTCAGGTTGGACATCAGGAGGAATTTCTTCCTGGAAAGGGTGGTCAGGCATTGGAATGGGATGCCCAGGAGGTTTGGAGTCCCCACCCCTGGAGATGTCCAAGGAAGGACTGAACATGGCACTGAGTGCTCTGGGCTGGTGGACAAGGTGAGGATCAGGCACAGGGGGGACTTGATGATCTTGAAGGGTTTTTCCAACATTAATGACTCTGTGATTCTGTAAGAAGTGTCCACTCTCATTTACAAGGGAGACTTGAGCCACTCTTAGTTGGTCATTCCTCTCATCTACCCTACACACTTTTCCGAGGATGAAATGTGTTTTTAAATTTTCTTATCAATTTCAGTTCATTCTGCTCTTCTGGGGAAGGTGCCAGTAAATTTAGTCAGGTTTGGAAATGATAGGAACAGGTAAAATGTACTACAGGGAACTTCTCCCAATTCTAACAGTGTTATAAAAGCAGGAAAGAGAGGGTTTGAGCAAAATTAGTGAATGCACAGGCCCACACTGGGAAAGGGAAAGGGGAAAAGGGAAAAAAGGGAAAAAGGGGAAATGGGAGAAAAAGGGGAAAAAAAAGGGAAAAAAGGAAAAAGGGGGGGAAAAGGAGGAAAAAAGGGGGGAAAGGGGGAAAAGAGGGGGAAAGATGGGGAAAAAGAGGGGAAAAGGGGGGGAAAAGCAGGGAAAATGGGGGAAAAAAGAGGGGGAAGGGGGAAAAGGGGGGAAAAAGGAGAAAAAGGGAGAAAAAATGGGGAAAAGGGAGAAAAAATGGGGAAAGGGGAGAAAAAAAGGGGAAGGGGGAAAAAGGGGGAAAAAAGGGGAAAAAAGGGGTGAAAAGGGGGAAAAAGGGAGAAAAAGGGGGAAAAGGGGAGAAAAGGGGAAAAAAGGAGGGAAAGAGGAAAATAGGGAAAAAGAGGGGAGGGAAAGGAGAAAAAAAGGAGAAAAAAGGAGAAAAAAAGAGAAAAAAGGGAAATCGGAGGAAAAGGGGGAGGAAAGGGAAAAAAGGGGAAAAAAGGAGAAAAAGGCAGAAAAAAGGGGAAATGGGAGGAAAAGGGAGGAAAAGGGGAAAAGAGGAAAAGGGGAAAGTGGGAAAAAAGGGGAAAAAAGGAGAAAAAGGCAGAAAAAAGGGGAAATGGGAGGAAAAGGGAGGAAAAGGGGAAAAGAGGAAAAGGGGAAAGTGGGAAAAGGGAAAAAGAAGAAACTCACTAGGAGAAAATAAACTTAAAGGAGCATCACAAGCTTTCCATGGAAGCACCATCATGACAGACATCAGACACAAAGCAGGAGACAAATCCCTGCCAGGAAAGTCAGGAACAGTTTGGGAAGGGTCATGGCTCCAAAGGTTGTTTGTGTCCTCCTGTCAGAACTGGGTGAATACAAACAAAGGCAACAAAGGTACCAAGGGAAAAGGAAAGCTCTGGGGATGTCAGGCTTTCAGCAGCAGATCAAAGCACTGATCTGTTCTGAAAATAGGAAAAGAAATTAAAAGCAAGAGGGGGCCCCTGGGTTTTAAAGGTTTTGATGATCTTATTTCCTCGTTACTCACCTCCGCGTTGGAGAAGCAATAGAGAAGAGCGACAACAAAACCCTGGGACAGGGAGGGTAGGGAGGAAAAAAGCCAATAATCAGGATTTAAAGCATAGAATCAATGACAGACAGCAAGTTTCATGCACAATTCAAGTAAGACAGACAGCAAAAAAATATAATGTTTTCCATTTTTCCATTGAAAGTCAGGTGATGTGGCACTATTTATTGAGTTTTCATAACAGAATTAAATTCCTCAAAGGACTGGTGATATTATATGTATGTTACTGCCCTTGTATGGAAACAGTAAGGACTGATTTGCTGTTTATTGTATCCTACAAACAACTTCTCCCTCAGATAAGGGAGTAGGGGCATCTGTTTTCTTCTAATCTATATTTACAATAGTGAATACAGTTATTACAAAGTGTACCATACCCTCTCAAATCCATGACATTCTTCTGACTAGCAGTATAGCAAAACAAGCCATGAAATATTAACATGATTCACCACTCCTAAAGGGTAAGTGCAGAGAAGGTTGTTACATATTCTCCTTATTTCTCCATTCCTCTTGTTTTTATTATATGTGAAATCATTTTCCATCAGTTCACCTTAATCCGCAGACTGGTCTTCACAGAACTCTTGTTATTCAATTTATTCTTGTTATTCAATATATTGTTACTCAATAAAGGTAGATGTTGTGGGGTTTTTTTTGTAATTATTAATAGGAAGTCTGACTCAGAATTCAAAAGCAGTATGAGATTTCAAATAATAAGGGAAAAACCAGGAGAGCCGCTGAAGGGGGAAGATGGAATGTGTGTGTTGGATTTGGACACACTGAAAAAACCTGCTGTAATAACCAAGCTGAGGGGGTGGTGGTACAGATTAAACCTCTTAGGATTGTTAAATATTTTGTCCATCTTACCTGGAAAGAACCCAAGCCAAGCTCAATGTAAAAACGAGCTTCCAGCCCGGTGCTCTCTGGGAAAAATGCAAATACGATGTAGTGCACTCCAAAGAGGGGGATTAAAAGCAACGTGGATTTAGCAAGTCTCCTGGAAAACCAAGGATTAAAAAACAAGGCAGTGTTAGAAATATGGAATTAGTGACAGAATTTTTATGTTGGAGCATATTTTAATTCATAATGGAGGCAACTACATCCAGGGAACTTATGGAAAGATCCCCATTAACTGTGAAGTGGCTCATAAACAGCAAGGACTAGGTTTGGTTACCAGAACATCAACATCAAACTACTGCTAAGAATTTGAAGGAAATTTAACTTAAATCTGCATCTTTCTCTACGTGGCCATTTGTGAATTCATTACCTGACATTCAGTGTTTACACTTTCAATCTGAGTCCTTTCACAGGTGCAAAACTCTAGTTTATTTTCTCATTGTCCCCAACCCACCCCACCCTTTTTCTCCTGAAGAAAGAGAGAGAGGTGATATTTGGGATGAACAGGAACATTGACATTGTTATTTCTCCTAGGAATTTCTCTCTCTGTTAGAAGAAGAGGAGAACATTTCATGCCCATAAAATATTTCTCATATCAGAACAGGTCAATATTAAGAAACCCAGAAATACTCACACGAAGTGGCTCGAATGGCTCCCTCCTCCCTCTTGAGATTTCAGTTTATGGACTAGAATTCTGATCACATTAATAAATATAATAAAGTTAATCTGAAAAGACAAGGCAAAACCTGTAAATTTATTATTGGCCAGGAGCTGACACAAATAACTGAAAATCTCCAGTCAAAGCAAGTGCACTGCCATAAACCAGAGCAGATCTGTTCTCAGACCAAATCAAGAGCATTATAAATAGTAATTATTTTTCCCACCCACATATATTTATACATAAAAGATGGTGAAAAATATGTTGAATTAATGTAGACCTACGTATCTCAAGCTCAGAGAGAGTAATAATATATTTTATTTATGTTAATAAATATTTTATATATATATAAATAAATAATATTATTTTATTTTTATTAATGCCCTGTTTTTCTCGCCAGCAGCTCACAGATCTTTCATGGTTTAAACAGTCCCTTCTGTTCCCTTCATTGTTTGGGATAGGGATTATAACAGACCTGAATGACATAGTACTCCCTCTCTAAATTTAGGTGGTGTAAATGGGTGGATAAGGGAGATTTCTTTGTCTTAAGTTTACATCCTAAGAACTTATTTTAAAACAATTTAAAAAATCAGATAAAATTATTTTTAAAATATACCAGATAAAATTATTTTAAAAATATACCAGGTAAAATGATCTATATGCAGATACTCAAGGGAAAATGAAAAAAAACACCAAACATACTAATACAGTTATCAGGATGGGGCCCTTGATGATCCATAAGACCACTCCATTTTCATCATCATCCCAACATCTGAAACCACAAACAAAACAGGTCATATCATCTGTCCCATGTGAGCTTTTACAATATAAAAAAGCACTTTTTCACAGAAAAACGAAGTTTAAATCCCTGCCTAAATGTCCCTGACAGCACTGGTACCCTCATATCCTCTAAAATCTCTGTGTAACTCAATTTGAAGGAAATTTATTCTCTAAGAAGCAAAGATGGAAGAACCAAAGCAAAATCAAGAAATTTGTATTTTCAGGCTTCTTTCCTGCTCTTCTCACTGCTCTCTATCATTCATCTGAGTTCTGAGCAGGAAGGTGTAGAACAGTCCCTTTTCCAACTGATTGTCCACGTGAAATGACCTGGACACCTTCAGGACAGCTTTTAGTAAATAACATTTATATCTGGCTCTCAGATTAAAAGATTAAAATAGAATAAAAATCAAATAATTAAATGGAAACAAATTAACAAGACATGATGTGTTGGTTTGGGAGGTTCTTATTTGCAAAGATTTGGGTTAGTAATATATGGCTGATTTTAAACAGAAACAGCTAATTTCTTAAAATAGAATAATTTCCTTACATATAATTATATAAAGATTATGTATTATTATGTTTTCTTATATATAATTATATAATTGTATACAATTATATAAATAATATATTTTCTTAAAACATAATTATTGCAGGTCTGGCCATTAGGGAACTAAATGAAATTTCAGTAGTTACCACGGGATTATTATCCCATATACAAACATCAAAATCAGAAGAATTAAACCTATTTTCTCACAGACTTCCATATGAAGTGTAAAGCTTAGAAGCAGAACTTGGGAATATGTGGGTTTTTTCCTTTTCTTTTTTTTTTTTTTAATACCTCTTTTTTCCCCTCCAGCACAACAGAACGCCATAAAAACCAGGATATCCTCATCTTCCTTTTCCAAGCTCTGACTTACCCAGTATTTTGTTGGTGGATTCTTGTAAGGACCCAAGCAAACAGCACAGCAGCAGGAGCTCCTGGATAAATCAACATGGAACACAACAATTGTTTGGAATACTGTGTCCCATGGAGACTTTACTCCCAGCACTTTCAGAGTGCAGCAGGATGGATGCACATTAAAGGACAAATGATGGGTCAGACAATTTTAAATAACTTTATGAAAGAACTTAACTTGTAGCTCGGGGGAAAAAAAAGGAATACAAGGGCAGGGGAATTTAAAAAAAGCAAAGGAGAATAAGGGGTGCTGTAAAACTGCATTTTCAAAAATAAGTATTAAGAATTACTTTAGGTTTGCCTATGAATTACAAGCATTTGTGAAGCTCTGGAGCTGTTTTATCCTGTGAATTGTGGCCAACATACAACTTTTTGTACACTAGGTGGAAGAATTCACATTTTTGTCCTCTATTAATCACTCTGGACCCAACAGCTGATAAGAATTCCATGAAAACTTAATTAAATCCAGCAACTGGTGATTTCTATTCCCACTTTTTACTGCTTATCCTTCTATCCTTCTACATTTATGGCTGATTTTGTTTTAAGAAGGCCTATAAAGTGGAAATTGCTTTTGCTCTCTTTCTGTGGAATTGAATTTCCAAAGACCAAGTGACTTTCAAAGCTGCAGAAAAAAAAGGGACTCTAATCTGAAACAAGTGACATTTTCACTGATAAACAGACAGAAATAAAGGTAACACCTTTCTAAATACCACTTGAGATCTTTAAAAAAAGGCCCAGAAGGTGTTCTTCTAAATTTTAGCCCTTTGCTAAAGTCCTTTAAAGTTGGGACCACGTTCAGTTCAAGTGGTCTGTTTAATTAATGAAGAGAAATATTTACATCCATATCACCTAAGATCTGAGTTACCCCTGAGATGTCTCTCCCCTTCCATTTATTCCAGAAGTAAATGAGGATTTCTACATTATTAATTGAGTTGTTTCTTTTGTTATCTCAATTTAGCCATGATTAATCAAGGTCTGAGAGTCTAATTTCAGACAGTCAAAAAATAGCTCAAAAAATTGGAACAGCTCAAAAAAATTGAATTATATAAAGTCTGAGAATCTCAATATAAAGGATGAATTAATATTTACTTGAGGATAATTTGGATTTCAATGCTAAGGCAAAAAAATGTCATTTTGTAACTGCTTAATTTGGGTGCCTCTTTTTTAAAATAGCTGAGGTGAGGCACAGGAATATCTGAGAGTCATAAAAACAACTCTCTCCAGTGAAAGAAATTTTAGGTCTTACCCATTCCTGTTCTGACAATCAGAGAAAATTTTAATTGCTGTAAAAACTCAAAGAACTTCTTAAAGCCAGGAGTTCTTTTAAAAACAAAACAAAAGAGAAGAATTGATTGATTCCTAGGCCTGAACTCAAGTGATCTAAGATTAATCTCTCAGGTTCTGTTTCCTAAAATCAAAATGCCAACTTTAAGTTAGTCACCCAAACTTCTTTAGTCAGTGGAGGAAGACAAAGTGTTTCTAGGATGTTATCCAGACAAATTAGTCATCATCTTGAGGATTGGATTAATCACCCCTGCGGTGAGTGGTGTAAATAACCAATAAGATAAATAAATAAGATAAGAAAGGCAATTCGGTGATGTGTGGTTTTCATGTAACACTACTGAATAAACAGGTAACTTTCCTCAGAATGGTGGCACCTCTGACAGGCACATTTTGTCTCAAAACACATATTTTATTTATTTCTGAAATAAAATGGTAGGTAACACAGAGAGAGCAGGAATACTGACCCCAGCCAGTGACTATGAACCACCACACGAACTGCTTGTTGGAAACAAAGGTCAGCAGGAGCAGGGTTTGCAGGTAAATCCCTTCAATGAGAAGCCAGAAGAAATTGGCCAAAATACTGAACTGGAAAAATGCCACAGCAGCCTTACAGGCAACCTGGAAGGGCAGGGGGAGAAAAATATGTTGAATCTACTCTCATTATGTCTGGTTTCTCTCCAGACAGATGCAAAATTCAATATAACCACACAAGAACAAAGAAATTCTAACAATATTTCAGTAGGTTTGAGGTTCCATAATTTGAATTGACTTTACTTCAGTTTTTTGAAAGAGAAATACTGGGTTTCTCTTACAGATTAAATTCTTTGCTAGCAGAAATTGTTACAGCTTCATTAGAGACATGTACTTTAGCTATCAAAGCTGAGTGCAGCCATAGCACTTGGTCTTTGTGTTGTTTGCTTTAAGATTTCAGTTCTAGCAAACTAAAGAGAAATGGGACTTAGGAATCCCAAGAATTAAATGTTAACTCGAGGATAAAAGAGAGGGGAGGTTCAGTACCGTTGACATTAGGCAGTGGTCCATAGTTTCATCTGCAAACAAAACAGCATCTTTGGTGAAAACAGCAATTGCTCTCAAGATAAAGGAGACAAACAGGTGCATGTGGATGTAATTCCGTGTACAGTGGAATTTTCTGACATGGAAAGAGAAAACAAAAATTGTTCTTCACCAGAAATTTCTCGTGGTCTCAGCAAAACTCAAACTGCCAACACCTCCCGAAGCAAACAAATGACCTGTCACTGTTTGAGAGGGAGACAGACATGAGGGAACAGAGCAGTTACTGTCTGTTTAAGCTAATAAAAATTCCAGTGTAATTGTCCTTGAATCACCACACATTTAGAGGAGATGCCAGAAGCAGAGAGTAACTGTGGGACTCCTGGGCTGTATTACAATGATGCCTTTTAATTATTCTAAATAATATTTTTGTTGGACGAGCTTGCAAAAGGCTCAACAAGGTTTTCAGCCCCTTTCTGGTCAGAGAGAAGAGAAGGCTGAATGGGTGTCAGTCACACCCTGTAATGTGGGTGCCAGAGAAGGGGTTGCCTTGCCCTAAACTACATTAGTTTGATGAAGGGCTGCTGAGGGAGCTGGGGAGGCTCAACCAGGAGAAAAGAAGGCTCAGGGGGACCTTCTCACTCTCTACAGCTTCCTGAAAGGAGGATGTAGCCAAGTGGGTACCAGGCTCTTCTCCAGAGTAACAAGGACAGGACAAGAGGAAAAGGCCCCAAGTTGTGCCAGGGGAGGTTTAGATTGGATAGCAGGAAAATTTTCTTTATGGAAAGGATTGTCCAGCACTGGCACGGGCTGCCCAGGGAAGTGGTTGAGTCACCACCCCTGTGGGTATTTAAAGCACATGTAGATGTGGCACCTGGGGACGTGGTTTAGTGGTGGCCTTGGCAATGCTGGGTTAATGGTCGGACTCGAGGATCTCAAACACCTTTTCCAACCTAAATGATCCCATGATTTTATTTCCCTGGGTTGCCCTGTCCACACTTCTACCTTGAGCTGATGGAATCTCCTTCAAGGCTTGGGCATATCAGCCTCGTGGTCCTGGGATGTGACCTTTGAGAATGCCAACCCACCCTTCTTAGGAAGCTGCTTCTGTGCTCTGCCCTCCTGTCTGCACAGTGGGTTTAACTCTTGTCCAAGAGCACTGGAACCAGTCAAACCCAGGATCCATTTCCTGATATCATCAGATGTAACATTTAAATTTATTTAAATGTCTTCCTGTAGCTCTCAGCTCTGGAAACCTTTCACAGAGGGAATGAACAGTTTAGAATCACCTCTGGTTCAGGACCATGAGACAGTGTTTCTGCAGGGTATGTCCTGCTATATGCTGAAGGAATTGTTTTCTTATACTAATAGTGATGTAAGTTTGGGCACCTCCACTGTATGGTGGCATTAAAGAGATTAAATCAGACTGCCCAGGCAGCTTGGATGTTTTAACATCTGCAGGGAAATATTACAGCACAAATAGAGAAAGACTCACCACCATCAACAGCATTATGTCTTAGAATGATTAGAAAATAATAATTAAAAATACTTAAAAGCCCACAAAGCAAAACCACAGAGGATCTGATGGAAATTAGGATGAGACTGTCTTAAGACATCCTGAAAAAGAGCCCATTTATATTTACCTGAAGGCAGCAAAGACAATTAGAGCTGTAACGAGTGAAGTCACGGATGCTGCATAGCCAGCAGTGTAGACACGCCAAAATGCAGAATAATAGGATTTCTGGGGGGAAAAGAGACACAGTTTGATGCAGGGGATTCTGGAGGATGAATGCTATGGGTGCTTATTTCACCAGGACACATTTTCCCTCACTGGTCAGTGCCACCACCCCTGTGCTTGAGATCTGCTTCAGGTTTTTCCGTCCACCACAAACATGTTTTCCTTTAAATCCTACTAAACCTTACACAGGAGACAGGTTTCACAGCCCACAGGCTCATCTGACCCCTCTGACCATGTCTTACAGGGAAATTTTTTAACTTCTTTTTAAGTAACTGCATTTTCTCTTGTTGGTACCTAAAGAGTCTGGGGCACTGAAACCTCCTGGTGGGTGATTTGTGAATCTGTCACTTCAGACCTGAGCCAGACTCAATAAACATTGATTTTCATAAAGAGCTATGGCTGAAAGAGAAATAAAACTTGGCAATTTGTAGGTGAGAAAACTGAAACACTGAGAAACAGCTCCATCATATTGTGGAGGTGAGAAAGTTAAAGCCAAGAAAATCACCTCACAGTCAATGCTTTGGACAAACAGTTCATTCCATTCCTATAAACTGTAACACTATAAACTCTTTACAGTTCATTTCTTTTCAAATTAAACACCCAGTGTAGTGAGAAAAATGAAGCATACTTACATGGCTTTAACTATGCAAATTTTATTCTGATTGACTACAAAATCACCTAATTATTTAAAATCCCAAGGAACTAAATTCTCTGAATCCAGGCAAATTTCCCCCTTACTAATGCAATGGACACTTTGTTCTCTAATTGATCCAAAATCTGTTTGTCCAAAAGGCTGCAATTCTAGGCTGAGACAAGTGATTAGCAATTTTAAGTAGAGCCATAAATAAATCATGTAATCCTGACAAGACAGGAATCAATCTGGTGTTTCTGATATAGTCCTAATCTTTTATACAGTATTTTCCAAAACACAGAAGAAAGTGGGAAAACAGGTTCTTCAACGGAATAATGAAGTATTTCAATTCATTTTATCTGTTTTTGTAGGATAGATAAAAAAAACAACATTATGCAGAGGACATCACAAGTGTTCATTGCACATACAAAATACAAAGCAAGTGGATCTCTTGGAATATAATTGGGATTCTTGTTACTTCCCCGTGTTTGCAATGCATTGGAGATTGCTGATCTTATCTTCCTTTTCTAGTCAAACCTGGGGGATTTGACTGGAATAACAAACTAAACACAGCCAGGGCCTCTGAATTGAAGTCTTCCATACTGTTGAAATGTTCCTTGCTGGATTTTAGCCTAGGCCAGCCACAAACTAAGCCTTGGTTTAGCATAATCCAGGGACTGCTTGGGGGAAACCCAAGCTCTGTGGGTGGCCAGCTGGTCCCAGGGCTGGAGAACTGTGCTTCAGAATATGTCCCCTTCTGAATCTTACATCCCTTCTGAACTGTTTACATGCTTTCCACCATCTTCCCAGGTGTTTTTTAAGCATTTATTTATGTTTTTTTAAGCATTTATCTTTCTGGCTTCCCGAAAGGGCAAAGAATTACAAATATTCCTAATTTATAGGTGGGAGATCGAGCTCTGAATATCTTTACTCCTTGTTACAGCCATTCTAGGTTCTAAATTCATGGAGCCAAATTTCTGAAGCAAATTGAGTCTACATTTCCCAAAGATTTAGATCTGAACTAGTTTGTGCTCGAGCCTGTGTGCCTGGAGAACAAAATGGTTACCTCCAGATAACACCCAGAGTGTTAGTGACGACAACCCTCCTCACCTTTCGGTGTCTTGCTCTAGCTTGTGATAAATGGCTTTTTTTTCTGAAGTGCTTATATGCTTTCCAGCATCTTCCCAGATGTTTTTTAAGCATTTATTTATGTTTGTTTTTTTTTAAAACATTTATCTTTCCAGCTTCCCTAAAGGGCAAAGAATTACAAATATTCCTAATTTATAGTTGGGGGATTCAGCTCCAGATATTTTTACCACCGGTTACAGCCATTCTTAGGTTCTACATTCACCTAGTCAAATTATTATTATTATATGAAGCAAATTTTGTCTACACTTCCCAAAGATTCAGATATCTGAACTAGTTTGTGCTTGAGCTTGTGTGCCTGGTTAATTCCAGATAATACTCAGTGTTAGTGATGACAACCCTCTCCACCTTTCTGTATCTTGCTTTGGCTTGTGATAAATGTTTTTTTTCTGAACTGTTTACATGACTTTTTGAGAGTGAAACATTAAAAAAACAGCTGCATTAATAAAATGCATTAATAAATTACGTTAAGAAAATATTTTTTTGGTGAATTGAAGCTCTTGCTGCATTTTCAAACCATCTACAAATAAACCACTGTGTTTTCTGGTTTGTTCCATCTTTTTTTTTGTAATTTGATATGCCTTTTTGACACTTATTATGGTGCACACAATACCTTTTTTCAGTTTCCTGAAAAAATAAGTCACGGAGATTCCAAAGCTCAAAAGCCACGTATAAAAATATTGATTTGGATTCTTAAAAAAACATCTTGAAATTTTTACCCAGAACTATTTATCTGTTTTGCTAACTTGGGTTTTCCAATACCTATTGCAAACACTTGCGTGGATGTACACAATCCTACTTTTTTGGGATGTGCAAGAGGAGCCTTGTTCAATGCAGACTGAAAGAAGGGGATGGAGACATCCCTGTTCTCTCTTGCTGGAACTGTCCCATCTCTCAAATTTCAGAACTCCAAGGCAGAGGCAGCCTCTCTGTTAATTAATTAATTAATAACCTTCAGCCAGGAGAAGTTCACCAGTGAGGGACCAGCAAAGTGTGAGGCATTCCCATCCTGGGGCCAAGTAGGGTGATGAGGAATATGGGAATTAAAATCATATGAAGATGTGGTAGTGAAAGAAATTCTGCAGGAGCTTAACTGAGTGCCAGTGATGGTCATCAGATAGGAAAAATAGAGGTTTGCTGCCTGCTCCATGAACCCCTAAAGGAAAGTATAAACGTCATCATTTCATAGAGTGGTTTGGGTCGGAAGGGACCTTCAAAGATCATCCAATTCCAACCCACCTGCCATAGGCAGGGACACCTTCCCTTAGACCTGCTTGCTCAGGGTCCTCTGCTCAATGGCATGAAGAATTCCCTCACAAAGGTGTGCCTAGACCACCATGCTAGAAAGTTATGGAGTAAATTTTTCTGATTGACTTAAACTCTGGGGGGGAAAAAATCAACTGGAGGCATACAAAGGAATTTTCCCCAAAAAATTCCCTGTGGTGAGCTTGGTAGGGCTTCCTTGGGAGATGGGTGCATGATGAGAACTAAAATCACCTCTGTCAGAGAGCCAAGGTCTTTTTTAGGCAGGAAAAGTGAACTAATCATGAGTTTACTCATTAACAACAAGAGGAGACATTTACACAGAGAAGGAAGTATTTCTTGCTACTCACTTGCTTTCTATTAAGCCTAATTTGTTAAACAAGCACTAAATATACCTAAAATTTTTGAGTTTAGCACTGAAAATGGGTAATTACTGGGTTCTGACAGGAGTCAGATGTGTGGAGCTACTCAGCACTCTCAGGAAAGGATGCTCTGGAAATAAAACACTCACCTGATCCTCAGGTCCTTTACTGGAACCTTCATCAAACCCACAGGCAACAGTGTATGGTGGGAATGGTTCTGACCAGTGTGCCTCCTGTGTGCAATTCCTCTGGAGGAAACCTTTCATGGGGAAAGAGAGCAGAGAATTAATTAGGGGAGGGTGGTGATGGTGCTGCTGTTCTTTAGGTTTGGATGAGCAACAACAATTTCTTATTTCTACTTTGATCCTTAAGTCAGGGACTTACAGGTCTAGGCATGCCCAGCAAGTTAAGCTGTAGTGTTACAATATTCTGTATATCATTTGAAAATTTGGAAATTCATTTCGAGATGCAGTGAGACTTGAGCATTTCATATGGGAAATCAATTCTGTAAATTCAATACTTATGTGGAGGAAATCAAATTATACATTTACAACATATTTGGGGATTGTAGACAAAGCTCTGAGCCACCTGATCTATATTGGAAATCAGATACAAGTTTTAAACTTGGTCCTGCTCTGACTGAAGGAATGGACCAGATGACCTCAGTAGGTCCTTTCTAATATTAATTATTTTATGAGTTTATAAATCAGCGATTCTACAATATATTCCTTTACAAAGTTAGTAACATAGTGCAATTATCCATCACTTTTAGACCATGAAAGAAATGAGACAATTCAATACAGCATAATGCAAAGAAATATTGACCACAAGCCAAGATGTGTATCTGGATAGTTACTGTATGACAGCATTGGGAATCAGGAAAATATGTAGGAATTTTCAACTATTAGAACTTATTTAAAATAAAATAATTAAAAAAAATGTAGGGACAAAAAGTCTTGCCATGGGTATTGGTGAATTCTTCAAAAAATTGTGGACAGGGAATTTTCACCACTTCCCCAAAAGTGGCTCTGGGCCAGCAGGTTAAACCATCCCAATCTCTGGCACATCCTGTAAGAAAAAAAGTGCTTCTAAATAAAGAGAAACACAGAGAACATCACGCAGTTGTTCTTCCATAATGACATTTTCTGTGGTTTTCCCACTAATTCACATGCAGGAAGAGCCACAACAGGGCATGCAGCACTGAAGAGAAGGAGAGGATTGTTTTCCTCTTCTCCTTGGATGCATCCGTGATCACATATGCACTTGGCATTCCAGCTGGACATTCCTCCACCTTATCTCATGAGAGAATATACCTGAAATTCAAACAGACACAATCTGAAAGTCAAATCACTTGGAGTTCTTGCTATTGTCAAAACAAAAGCCACCCAAATTAAAATATTGAATGATTATTAGCACTTGAGATTTCTCAGCACTGGTTCCAGGGCCTGACTGAAAAAATCAGACTTAGAAGTTCAACCTTAATCCCTTGATTTCTTGCTAAAACTCTACCAGTTTTACCTGGCTTGAAGGAAATAAGGGTGAAATCCCAGTATTAGGAAATCAATGGTATTTTTGCAATGGATTTCAATAAGGATAAGATTCATCCCATCGTTGGGAATAGGTGCATCCATGAGGTTCCTTAAACCAGAGGCTGCTGGTTGATGACACAGGAAATGCTACTGACTATGAGTCCATTAAAAAGGGTTTTCTCAGAAGTTTTGGTTAATCACAGGTTTGTCACAGATGCATCACAGTGACACTTCCAGCTGTGGGCGAGTAGGTGTGGGGGCAGCACAGAAAAATTACCAGCATGTAAAAGTGCCTGAACAAATTGAAAAAAAAAAAAGCATCATTCTGCAACCCCAACTAACCCCCAGGTGGTCGTAAGGTGGATATAAAGCAGTGCAGGAGTTTGGGTTGGGGAGGTGTTATTTTCTTTCATGACTCTTTTCTGCTTCCTCTGGGGGGGATGATAAGGCAAAGCTAAAATTGTGAGGAGCTGAAATGTGGAAGAAATATCACTCACCTGTAGCTGAGTTAAGCTGCTCTCTGGCTTCCAAAAGGAGAGTCCTGAGAATCTACCACACCATTGTCCTCCCATGACCCTTGGAAGGATGCAATTCCTGGTATCCCCAATTTGCCAGATGGCAAAATAGAGGTCCTGATTCATTAACTATGATTTTAATTGCCTAAAATATGTCAGCTAATCTCAGCTCTGTTCCCTTTGTAAGCAGAGGAATGAGACAGCAACTTCCAGCCCGTGATTCATCCCAAATATTGGAGGCCTCTTTCTGAGGGCAGGATGAATCACTGGCTGCAAATACCTGGGTCTGGCTGATGATTATACCCTAAGCTAGGCTGCTAATTTTTGAATTATTAAAGCCAGGTAATGTTAGTCTCTCTTATACATGCAATGGTCCACATGCATGGACTTAGCAACTGAAGTGGTCCTTCTTAGAGGGACTATAATAGAGCTGAAGAACTGGGTCTAAAAATCTAATTTATGTGGCAATGTGGGGTTAAAAATGAGATTCCATTCCCTGTGTAGTAAAGGAATCTGTATGTTTTAAGTCTTAAATTTGGCTTAATTTTCAGCGACTTCTTCAATGTATATCAAAAAAACCGCTGAGTGCAGAAGCCAAAAGGGAATTTTTCATGCCAAGGTTTTCAAGAGAGTTGTGGGTGTCCAAGTCACCTGAGAGTCCATAAAGTGCAGCAGGAGTTGTATCGGGTAATGTTGACATCACACATATTCAAGTCTTGCTCAGTAATCCAGGGCTATTTCTTTTTCAGATAGGGGAGGAAAAGTAAGTGTTTTTTTTAGAGCTTGGTTCATTTGACCTATTTTACACATCTACTTCACAATGAGACAGTCTGGCTGCTGCTGACACTCATTAGACAGTGCCCTGTACAAAAAGAATAGTGTGGAACAACTTTTGATCAAAATCTCTGTAACACAGACTAATCCCAGCACAGCTTCTCTGTGACTACTCAGAATTAACTCTACAAACTGTGATCCTTCTCTTTGTCTCGCTGAATTCCTGAAAACCAAAACACAAGCTATGGACTTTTACTAATTTTAGTCTAGTTTTATCCTCCAGATAAAATATTGGAGATAAACTGGTTTTCTGGATCTAAGGTTTAATTTCAAAATGCCTTGAGAAAGGCTGTGAACACCAGAACAGATTCTCATTGAGGTCTTTCCATCTCTAGAGAATAAAAGGTGGAAAGGAGAGCTTTGAGAAGCTCAGAGTTGACAAGGTTGAAGATTTTTAAATAGTTTAACAGAACTTCCAGGGATTTTTATTTCCTTGAGTAACCTTTGCTACAAAGAGGATTCAAAAATGATGTCATTATTGTTGTGTTAAAGAGGAGGAAACTTGGAATGACATCCTGGAATGCATCTAACAGATAATTTTTGAAAATACCTGATTTATGCCGAACTTCTTTTTGGGTGGATTATTGTGTGCTGCAAGTGCAAAATGTGTCCAAGAGATATTATGGACTTGATTAAAGTGTGTGGGGTGGAATATCATCAAAATAGAGTAGGAAACTAGAAGAGGAATATGGAAGGTTAAAGTGATTGGAAATACTGCACAATAATATATAAGACAAAGGAAATATCCTGGGGGTTGGACTGTAATTTCCAATAGGTTGATAAAGGCAGATTTCCAGGGGGTTACAATTCTTCTATACCAACCAGGAAAAAAAAATTAAAATCTCATAATTCACATAACTGAAAAATCTCACTGAGGTGGATTCAAACTTTTCTAAGCAAAGTTGGCCGGGAAAAAAATCTGACTGAACTTTTGAGGGTTTGAACATTCCGAAATTTCACTTTGAATTATTTCTAAGCGTGTCTCCACTAGGTCAAAACCCCAGGAGGGAACACCCTACACAGCATTTTCAATATATTTTACAGGCTCGGTTACATGTTCATTTTAGTTTTCAAAATTTATATCTGAGCACGGAACAGGCTTCAAAACACCACCACAATAAATCTCGTCAAGCAAACAAATAATATAATGTGTAAAACTGTGGAAATATAATATTTTGAAGAACTAGGGATTTTTTTTAATTATTTTTTTCTCCTCCCAAGGAACATTTTCAGCATGTGAATGATTCCCAACATGATATAATTGCAACACGTTTTTCAGCGTCTTCTGTGGAAATTTCTTTGGTATTTTGGGTATAAGAACACATCAAATACTTTAGTAATGTGAGACATTTCAAGTAGGGTTTTCCTTCCCTAACTAAGCTACTAAACCTGCCAAAGTATGAACCAATCATCTTAGTTTCTTTCTGTAGTAGTAAAGAGAAATTCTACTCCAGAAAATTATTCATTTCATTCCAAAGTGTCTAAAATGCAATGAAACGTGTTCTAGGGACACCCACCCTCCTCCATGTACTTTAAAGGATTCTAAGAAGACAAATCCTACCTTAGACATTGAGTTTTTAAAGATGCCTTAAATGAGATGAGGTAAAAGTCCCAGCCTAGACAAGAAGCATTTCAAGCCATTAAGAAACCAAATAAAAGAGGAATCTATTGGAAGCCAATAAAACAAATCTATGGGAAACCAAAAAAATAGGAATCTATTGGAAATCAATAAAACAAATCTCTTGGAAACCAAATAAAAGAGGAATCTATTGTAAGGCAATAAAACCCATCTCTTGGAAACCAAATAAAAGAGGAATCTATTGGATACCAAAAAAACAAATCTATTGGAAACCAAATAAAAATAGGAATCTATTGGAAGCCAATAAAACCCATCAGTTGGAAAACAAATAAAAGAGGAATTTATCTGGGAAGTTTTACTTAGGAGAACAAATGATATCTGACAGTGCGTCCATGAAAAGATATCCAAGGGATATTCATACCAGAGTTTGACAGTCAGGATTCTTACCTTTAAGATCAGGAGAAACAGATTCATTCTGTTCCAGGCAGAGAGCCTCCTCTTTGACCACCTGCTGGAATATCTTGCATTCTGGATGGATTCCCCCAACCTTGGTGAAAGACAAAAAAAAACTCAAGAAATTCTGTCATTATCAGAATGAGAAGAGCCAGATTTCTTTCCAGTTTGTACCTGCTGGCTCATATTTTGAGGTCTAAGGATGTGAAAACTCCAGCTGAAGGTTTTTCTGCAAATAAACGGCAGGAGGAGTCTGTGATCTCATACAGTTATTGATTTTTATCCATGCCTGTGTGTGAATTCCACATGGATTCTTCAAGGTATCAGAATAATCAAGCTCAAGCAGCATCTCTTCTCCAATCTGGGCATTTATACCACCTCTCCTTTACACCCATGTTTTCCACAAAACTTAAATGGATTTCACACTCCTTGGATCTCCATCTCTTTGTCAACTGGACAAAATTGGATGGTCCATCAGCTGTGGGAATATTCACACCAAGTCCTCCAAACATACATTTCTTGCCCATAAAACAATATATACGTTTCCCATAAAACAATTTCTCCCTTTCCCCATAGGAAAACCCATACATTTCTTCCCCATAAAACAATAAAAGTAAATATACATGTTAATTTGTTTTTTGGTTTGTTTGTTTTCTGGTTTTTTTTTGTTTGGTTTTTTTTTTTTTTTTTGAGGAGGCTTTGTGGTTTTTTTTTTTTCTGTTTTGTTTGGTTGGTTTTTGTTGTTTTGTTTGTTTGATTTTTGTTTGTTTCGGAGTTTTTTTAGTTGGTTGGTTTTGTTTTTCTGTTGTGGCTTTTTGGTGGTTTTTTTGTGTGTGTGTGTGGGTTGTTTGTTTGTTGTTTTTTTTTTAGTTAAAGATTTTGAGTGTTTTCAGAACTAGATATTACCAAAATATTCCTATTTTGATTCTTGGGATTCTTCTAAGAATCAAGTTTTCTTTAGAGCAGGAACTAGCCCTAAGTGAGATGATAAAGTTCTAATTACCCTTCAGGAGGGTGTGTCTACTCTGCTTTGATGTGGAGATCAACAGTTTGGGCTCTTGGTCTCCTTTGAAACCCTGAGATTACAGTGCCATGAAAATCACTCTACTGAGAGAGCATCAGGTTCTTCCCTTCTGAATTATAAAACCAGAAGCAATTAATAGGAGCAGGAGTTTTATATCCATGAGAGCTTAAATAAGAAATACTGAAGTCCAAGAATTCGGAGGAAAAAAGGAAAATGGTCGTCTTGGCCACAGTTTAATCTGAATTTTATCAATATGTTATCTGAGGATGTTGCACACACCTTAGACAGAGACACTGCACCATTTTAACAGATGGTGAAATGAGAAAATGTTAATGACTTGTTTTGGAAGCTTAAGAAATTATATTTATTTCACAGATAAGGGAACCTTCATTTAAACAGCCAAATGGATTTCTAGACAGCAGTTGCTGAATAGTCTACACTCAGCTTCTTAGTGACTTAGTGACACTATTTTGGGTCATTTAGAGGTTTCCATGTATTTTGTTTGGCCCTCACCTCTCACACCAGAAATTTTCCTGTCCCCTGTGATCCTGCACCGTATCTCTTGTGATTTTTAAGTTCTAAATAACCTAGAACAACCCCAAATCATTCCCTCTGCAAAGGCAATTGCATTCTGAGAAAGGACCTCCAGTGTCAGTGTCCACGTGTGGTGTGGTTATCTCATTATCTCAGCTTCTCTTGCAGCCCATGGGAACTCAAAGGATGTCTCAGCCCCCCACAAATGCTTGTTTGGGGTGTTCTGAGGTATCTCAGCCCTCCTGTGTAGATTCTGCACTAGTTTTGTCAGCCCCATATAAGAATTTGATGTCTCAAAAGCATTGTTTGATGTCACAAGCATTGTTTGATGTTTCAGGTGTTTCTACAAACCCATGTTTAGGACAAAGTTAAACCCAGAGTCAACGGAGTTGAGGAAGGAACTGAACTGTGATCAGGCAACTGAATCCTGCATCAAAACCACCTTTGGGATATTGGGATCTTCAAGACATAGGAAGTGCAGAACAGAGCAGGGGGGTTGCTTCTTTGCAAGTTATGTTATTTAAGGCAAAGCCAGGGGCTCAGTTGATGGTTAAATTCATGGGAATTATGGATTGAAGGTTTTCTGAGACATTTCTGAGGGAGGCTGGAGGCTGTTCAAACCTCCAATGACTTTGAAAATTCAATTCAGATGCAAACATCACTGCTAGATTGCCTTTCAGTCCCAGGAAGTTGATTTATTGGCCTTCAAAATGTTTTCAGTGAGAAGGGCAACCAGGACTCCCTTCAGCCTCCAGAGAAACTTCACTGAAGTCATGCAGAATTTTACATCTTAGCAATAATATCTGCTGAGGGGAAAAAAGGAGAACACAATTTTATCTTTGAATACCTTTGAAAATTCTGCTTACATTTGGGTTTTAAAGTAGCATAGGCAGACTTCTTTTAATTATGAGGCGCCAGAGATGGTTCATACATGTTAATATCAGAACAGAAAGAAGATTAAGAGCACTATTTGAAAAGAAAGTTAAGACATGGTTTTTTTCATGCATTATGTTCCTCCAGTGGGTAATTCCAAATAAATTTTATAGATCAGCATGAGTGACTCTTAAAATAGTACTTCTTGCTCTTCAGCTATAGTAGCAGAGTTCTTAAATGAAATTTTTCAGGTATTAATAGGATCCCTGCTCATTGCTTTATCTTTAAACTTACATTTCACTTTGCAGTTTGCCTATACAACAATCAAATTATTTGAGTAGAAGCAACAAAATCGTTGCTACATAAATCTCTCACTGTTTCAGTTCATAAACATGGATTTGGCTGGACAGGAAAAAGGCATCCTCTAACTTCTCGAATTTCTGGACTCTGTCACTCCTGATAAACTTTATATTTGGAATATTATTAGGCTTGATGTTTAAAAATCATGACAGCTTGACATGGTGCCCTGCAACTTACCATCTATACTGAGTCCTCTGGTGAAAGGCTTAAAAGCACTGACCAGCCCTAACCCAAAATGAAGTCAAAACACGGAATTTGAAATGTTTTTGAGAAACGAGCACTGGGCAGAGAAGAGGTAAATTAGCTCCCACCTCATGCCAGAAGCGCTGGGACTGGTGGAAACACACATAATTAGCCATGAAAAATTTCAGAGGAGGAAGAGTTATTTTTCCCCAGAAGTCAGTTTAAGAGGCACAGACAGGCAGCTGACACGGGTGGGACATAAATGAGGGACTGAGCTCCCCAAACAGGACCTCACACCCTGAGTGTGTCACAGCTGCTCCCTGCTGCTCCAAGGAGGCTGCATCTCCTTTTTTCCTCTGTTTTGGTAAATCTACCTCCGCTGAACCAGAGCCTCAGCCCCCCTTTTTCAGCAGAGCTGGACTGAAATTAGGGGAATGCTCTTCATTTACAGTCCCTGGGGGAGCCTACATGTGGAGAAGTGGTACTGTGGTGATTTGACAGAGGAATTGCTGTAACAAATCAGATCCCTGCTCCATGTAATCCAGACTCCAGTTTCAGAAAACAGGGGTAAATCACCAGAAAATATGATTTTATTATTTATTCCAGAAATCTTGACCAAGAACTAATGACACTCAGAGGTTATTTAGGCCCTGGTACAGGTTGCCCAGAGAAGCTGTGGCTGCCCCAGCCCTGGAAGTGTCCAAGGCTGGGTTGGAGGGGGCTTGGAGCAACCTGGGCTAGTGGAAGGTGTCCCTGCCCATGGCAGGGGGTTGGAACTGGATGATCTTTAAGGTCCCTTCCAATCCAAACCATTCCAGGATTCTGGGATACCAGTGGTGAGACTGGAGCCAACCCCACTACCACTGATAAATAAACAATTAACCAACGTGCCCACATTTTGTTTGCTTCAGGGCTACTGGGTTTGGGGTGGGTGTGATTACAACCACAGGACCCAGAGTTTTAATTACAGACTAGACCATTCCATATGTTAAATATTACTGACACCTCAGTAATCAACATCAAGTGCAACTGCAGAGGTAAGCTACAGACTATCCCATAAGAAGAGAAAATAAGTCTGGTGGTAACTTATTATCATGCAGTTTTCCTTTCCCAGTTACACTGGGAAGTAATCCCAGTGTTGGACAGGAAAAAAAAAGAAAAGAAAAAAAAATAAAGAAAAAAAAAAAGAAAAAAAAGAAAAAAGAAAAACAGAAAAAGAAAAAAGAAAAAAGAAAGAAGAAAAAAGAAAAAAAGAAAAAGAAAAGAAAAAAGAAAATGAAAAAGAAAAAATGACACACATACAAGAAATTGAGAGCAGTGATGATGCCTCAATTTGTTGGTTTTCCTCAGGCTTTAAGAAAGAGTAAGACATTAAACCATTTTATAGTTAAGAAAAGCCTTCTGGGCAGAACACTACTTGTGATTTGTTGTCTGTGGCTTACTTATTTTTTGTTATTAGTCTCACAATGCCTTGAGTGAAAAGGGCAGGTTGCTGCTTTAATTTGCCTACAAGGGTTGGGTGATGGGTTTTTTTAGAAAGCAGGGGCTCTGCATTCGGTGCAGGCACATACTGTTGCAATTTGGGAGGTATTTGCCTCCTGCAGGAAAAGAGCAGCTCCTGCTCACCTTAGAAAAGGGATGATTTAGGAACCCAGACAAAGCTGAGCTTTCTGAGCCAGGCATGTCCCATCTGGCACAGCATTCCCTGGCACAGCAGTGAGTGCAAGGGGTTCATTTAAAATGTTACTCCCTGGATCAATATTTCCCAGTATTTGGCAGTGACCTGGCATGGGCTTCATTGGAAATCACAGCGGGGCACCTTCACCCCAAGGCTTACACAGAAAACTGAGTTTTCCTGCCCTCAAGAAATGGAGCTCTGCATTGCTGAGCATCATAACACAAAGGTCTTTTTCGCTGGTTTTAATGCTACTGACCAGCCAAAATTCACAGGGGCATTTTAACCGTGAGTCCTAACCACTGGAACAATGCCTGGAACATAATGAACATTAAAAAGTTACCTATGACAGGCATGAACATTGCAAAAAAACCTAAACCACTTTAGAAATCCAGATTTTCGGGCTTGCACTTACTTTTAGATTTCATTTTCTTAATGTCTGTAA